AGTTTATATTTATGATTCGCTCGACTTAGAATTTGTTGTATGCCATAAGTTAGGTCATGACAAATGACATGACACCTCTCTTGGGTCACCTATTTAGATATTTTAGTTTTTGTTTTATTGAATGATGAGTTCTATTTTGCTTTGTTATGTGATAGGCTGCTTGATTGCAAACTTAGTGCACATAGATACACGACTCTCTCTATATGGGAATGGATTGATAGAGGCTAATTGTTGATTTGCTCTCGATGCTTGATCCTCTATTTAAAGTATATTTTTTGGCGCGTGTATTGCCTTTCTCCAGTTTGTTGTTTGTATTATCATCGCAATTCAATGAAATAAATTTCTTTTGTGGTGGGGATTACGGTTTCATCTTGTTAATGTAAAAATAGATTTTTCTATCAGTAACAAATAGGATAAAGTAGGAGAGAACACATGTACTGTCAACAATAGCAATTTCAACTTTCATACAATCAATGGATATTGTCAAGTTCTATTATGCTTAGGATCCTTCATATTTCCCAAGGCCAAAGTCTACTGTAATTTTCTGCTGATAATAGAAAAAGATGCAGAAAAATAAATAAAGCTTTGCTTTGGTTCTTCCAAAAGAAAAAGGAGGAAGAAAATTGTGATGAAGTCATCACTTGATTTACAAGTCAATTCTATGTTCCGAGGTCTTAAAAACCTTCTTCTATCTCACCTCGGTTTGCGTGCGGGATCGGGCGTATATCCAGAACGCTTTTATGTGAAAATTGGATAAAAATGCTAATTTTGCCTTTAAAATTGAATTTAAGTTGACTTCGGTTAATATTTTGGGTAAACGGACCCGGACCCATGATTTGACGGTCCTGGAGGGTCCGTAGAAAAATATAGGACTTGGGTGTATGCCCGGAATTGAATTCCGAGGTCCCTAGCCCGAGAAATGAGTTTTTGAAGAAAATTGTTTAACTGAAATTTTAAGAGTTTTTGAAAATTTAAATGTGTTTGAATATGATAGTGTTGGGCCCGTATTTTAGTTCCGGAGCCCGGTATTGGTCTTATATGGTATTTAAGTTGTGCCTGTAAAATTGGGTAAGAAACGGACTTCATATGACGTGAAACGGACCCTCGGTTGAAAAATTTGAACTTTAAGAGTTCTTGAGATTTTCTTTGATTTTGATGCTAAACTCGTAGGTCTAGATGTTAATTTGACGATTTGATCGCACGAGCAAGTCCGTATGATATTTTTGGACTTGCGTGCATGTTTGGTATGGAGCCCCCAGGGCTCGGGTGAGTTTTGGATTGGCCACGGAGTGAAATTAGACTTAGAAAAAATGCTGGTGTGTTGCAGGTTTGCAGGCTTCGCAATGGCTCACAAATGCGAGCTCGCATTTGCTAAGAAAACATCGCAATTGCGAAAAGGGCTAGGCAGGGTGACCTTCGCATTTGTGAGGCTCAATGTCGCAAATGCGACCATAGCAGGTACCGCAATTGCGAACAATTGTTCGGATTTGCGAAGAAAGCAGGACTGGCCTGCCTTCGCATTTGCAAAGCCTGGGCCGCATTTGCGAGTTCGCATTTGCGAGCGTGGCATCGCCAATGCGATATCTGCACCTGTGCAAATTATAACTTAGCCGAAATTTCAACCATTTTTACAACTTTCTCAAAACCTAAACTCTCTTGGGCGATTTTTCAAAGGCACTCACTCTTCCATATCATTAGTAAGTCATTTTTAACTCATTTTCTTTAATCTATAACATCTTTTTACATGATTTCAACTCAAAATCAAGGGTTTTCATGGGAAAAATTGGGTATTTTTGGGTAGGACTTAGGATTTTTAAATTTTGGGGATTTGGACCTCGATTTGAGGTCCGATTTCAAAATAAATTATATATTTGAGTTCGTGGGTGAATGGATAATCGGGTTTTGGTTCGAACCTCGGGTTTGACCATGTGGACCCGGGGTCGATTTTTGACTTTTTGGAAAAAACTTTAGAAAACCTATTTTTCATGCATTAGAATTGATTCATTTAGCGTTTATTGATATCGTTAAGTAAATTGTGGCTAGATACAAGCGAATTGGTTGTGGAAACAAGAGGTAAAGCGGTAGTTGAGGCTTGAATTGGGTTCGTGGCATCGAGGTAAGTGTTTGGTCTAACCTTAGCTTGAGGGATTAGGAGTTGTGTCTTATTTTCTATGTGTTAATTGTTGAGTACGACGTATAGGCACGGTGACGAGTATCTATACGTCGGTGTCAAGCATGCCAGTGAGTCTTATACTATGATGAATGTGACTCCGTTTCGTATTATTTTATGCTTTATATGATGAAACCTATTGTTGAACAAGGCTTGTGGAAGTATTATTGGTAATCGAACATTTTAGAGCGTTGGCTCGAGTTGTGAATTGACTTGTGGAAGTATTATTGGTAATTGAACATTTTAGAGCGTTGGCTCGAGTTGTGAATTGAGTTGTGAAAGTAATATTGGTAATTGAGCATTGTAGAGCGTTGGCTCAAGTTGTGAATTGAGTTGTGAAGTAAAAGAGAAGAGGTTTATGGTATTATCTCCCTTGCCGGGATGTTATTGCTTTTGATATTATCTCCCTTGCCGGGATGTATTGCTTTTGATATTGTTTTCCCTTGCCGGGATATTGTTGTTATGCTACTGTTCCCTTGCTAGGGTTCTATTATGATTTTATTGATCCCCTTGCCCGTATTGCTTTGTGATTGTTGTTTGGGTAAGGAAGAGTGTAAAAGCACGAAGGGTGATGCCGTGCATGATATTTGTGAGAGAGTGTTAATGCACGAAGGGTATGTCGTACCGATATTGTGAGGTAAAAGCACGAAGGGTGATGCCGTGCCGCACGATGTACAATGCTGTGCCATGATATGAGTGATAATGCACAAAAGATAATTCCGTGCCATGATGTGAGGTAAAAGCACGAAGGGTGATGCTGTGCCCATTATATTGATTCTTATGGTGAGGACGAGAGTAAAAGCACGAAGGGTGATGCCTTGCACTTGTCCTTGATTTTCCTGATTCTTGTTGATAATTGAGTTATGCTGTTCTTTACGTTTATTTATCGATTTTCTGTGGTTACTTGATTTTATTGTGATGTTATTGATTCCCTTGCCCAAATTGCTTTGTGATTGTTGCTTGGGTGAGGAAGAGTGTAAAGCACGAAGGGTGATGCCGTGCACTTGTCTTTGATTTCCTGATTCTTGCTGATAATTTAGTTATGGTGTTCTTTACATTTATCTATTGGATTTCTGTTGTTACTTGATATTTCCCCGCAGCATGTTTCCCCTTCCCATCTTTAACTACTAGTTTCTGTCAATATTACTTGCTGTATGTGATATAACTGCACAGGTTTAATTGGTAGTCTTGTCCTAGCCTCGTCACTACTTCGCCGAGGTTAGGCTAGACGCTTACCAGCACATGGGGTCGGTTGTGCTGATACTACACTCTGCACTGTGTGCAGATCCGGGTGCTGTAGCTTTTGGACCACAGTGAGGTTGCTGCCTTCAATCCAGTGGCGGAGACCCGAGGTAGTCCTGCAGGCGTCCGCAGGCCTTGGCGTCTCCTTCTATCTTTCCATGCTGTTTCTTTTATGTACTTCAGAAACATCGTTGTATTTATTTTTCGGACCCCTATTTGTAGTATTCTTAGACAGTCTGTGAGATTGTGACACCAATTCTGGGTAGCTTATGTTTATGGATTAGTATCGGTATTATTATTAAATTGTTACATTTCATTCTTCCGCTTTATTATTTTCGCCGTTTATATAATATTTATTCACAATTGTTAAGGGACTAAAAATGAAAAGGGTTAAATAACTGGAATAATTGGCTTGCCTAGCTTTCACTAGTAGGCGCTATCACGACTCCCGAGGGTGGAAAATCCGGGTCGTGACAAGTAACCCCATGAATATGTTAATATCACGAGTTCAAAAATCAGTAAAATACCAAACTGAAATAAAACAGTAAACGTTATTAGTCAAAACAGAAACATAAATTAATTTCGAGCTTATAATTTACTTGTGTGCCCTTAAAAAATTTAATCTACTCACTGTTGCACAAGGTTTTTGGATTAATTCCTTTCAGGACATAACGAAAAAGTATTATGTGATAGTGATAATAGAATCAGAGAATTTTGGCGAACTCAAATAGTAGAGCAAATCACACTTGACACTTACTTTTTTGCTTGAAAAATATTGCAGAAATACAAAAGAGAGGGGGGAATATTTGCAGGTTTTGATGAGTGAAAATGAGGCTAAGCCTTCGAATTTATAGCCAATTAGTTGGAGTTTCAACTGGTGCAAAGATACCTGCTCATGGAAAAGGTGTCTTGGTAGAAATAATAACCACTTTTTCTAGCTCTTAATGAGTTTAAAAAAGAGCAACCCTTGCGCTATCATCGCTCGGCTTTGGCTTCGGATTGATATATTTTTTGGACAAAATTTATTTTTCTTTGCCGTCATTTATTTTTCATTTTGCTGATATTTTTGCGGGATAAAGTTCCTTTATAGAAAGAAACCAATTCAAAAATTCCATTTACCTCCATTATTCATTCACACCTTACCCAAAAAAAAAAAAAAATGTTCTTAAAGCTTATATCCTCCGTTTAAGACATATACTTAGCACTCTTTATATTCTTTTGCAACTTTATCCAAGGTTCAAATAGTTCTTCCTTTTATTTAAAATAAAAAAAATGGTTCTTCCTAAATCAATGACTTGAAACTTGAATTAACTCATGTTTATACTCAGGTTGAAACAGTTTATTTCTCGATTCAGCTTGTTATCATCACTGTCTCTTTTGAGAACAACTTCACACATCGACGAATTGAAAAGCATACACCAGAACAAGAAAGGAAGAAGTCCTGTACGTAGACTCCAAGTTCCAAAATACAAAAAGTCTATTTTTTTCTCCTTCTAAAAGCCAAGTACTAGTGTACTAGTATAAGAAAAAGTATAAGGTGTGGTCTAGTAAACAATGAATTAAGTTGAAAATCATGAGGCTTAAATTTCAGCAGAGGCAAAAACACTATGATGTGATTTCTTCAACAACAACAAAAAAAAAAAGAAAAAAAAAAAGAAAATAGAAGGTATATCTGTTTGTGCTTTTCTGTCAACGATATGTCGAACTGGTTGATACCAACGAGTTTGTTACTTTTGTGTCCACAAATGCAAATAACTTTGAACAAATATTAAGAGCATAACCAATTTTGCTACTCCGTTAGAATTATTTTAACGAATTTTGTGTTTCTCCGAGTGGGGAAATACAATGAATTGCTTCTCTCAACATATTGGAAATTTTCCTCTGGTTTTCTCAAATACTTCCTCTGCCATAAGTGCTGCCTTACCATCGGCCTTCTTGATCTCTAACTGAGCCTTCCCAGTACCTCCTGAAGCCTTTGCGTTAAAGCCAACTGCAACGGCAGTTTCGGCTTTGGCTCCATATACCAGACGCTGTGCAAATATTGTTGGGAAAAAGAACTCAGCAATTGGTTATAAAGTAAGAAATGTCAAGTCTAGTACAGGATTAAATGGGAAAGACGAAAAGGGAGCAAAAACAGACCTTAATTCTTGACAGATTGATAGCACCAAAGCACATTGGACAGGGCTCACAAGACGCATACATCTCACAGTCTGAGAGCTCGATGCAATTGAGCTTTTTACACGCCTGAATATGTATCCACAACAAGAAGCAAGATAAAATTTTGATACAAAACATGAGGTAACAAAATGGTGAAAAACAAAGGAACATCATATAGACAAATTAACAGATCAACACTACTTGAGAGCATCTGAGCTTGATACTACATTCCAGAATGCTCATCGATATCATACCACTACTTCTGATGAGCGCATCTGATGATTCTCCCGTAAACTTTATTATTATGATTTTCGATCATCTTCCATTAAATGGCAGCTCGGTGCACGAAGCTCCCGCTATGCGCGGGGTCCGGGGAAGGGCCAGACCACAAGGGTCTATTGTAGGCAGCCTTACTCCAGAGTTCCTTAGCATCAAATGATTTCACTTTCTTATTTAACAGAAAGTAAAAACTGTAGAGCTTTCACACATTAAATGATTTTTATTTAACAGGAAGTCTAAGAGTGACGTCTGTTGTTTTCGTTGATCTATTACAAATTTGCTGGTGCAGCAGTAACATTGTCTCTTCTTGCAGAAAACTCATCAAATGGAAGAAGTATCACCAAAAGATGGCCAAGATAGGCAAATAATGAAGTTCCAACAAAAATAAGCATCCCTCACCCCTCCCCCTGCAGAAGGAAGTGAGAAGTTAGAATAGTTAAGCAGATTAAGTTTTGCTAGATTCATAAATCCTGCCTTGGACAAATTATCAGCATGAGTTCAAGCAGGAGAGATATCACAAAACACATCTTTCTACCATAGGCGTTCATTACCGCAACTCTTTCTCATTCTTCTATGAGCTTGAATATTCAATCCAAATTCAAACTCAGTACTCTGTATAGAAAATAATATGAATGATTCACCAATGTTCAATGCTACTCTGACCCTAGAACGTTGTGCCACCCAAAACCATAGTGTAAATATCATAAGTTATTATCCTAAGCAATACGAGGGATTTGTATTTTCCTTTATAAATAATAAGTGGAACCAATATAATCAGTATTGTAGTCATCGTTCTTCCGGCAAGCACTCTCACCTTGATTTTTCTTTAGGTTTAGGCAATTCCTTTTCAAATGATCACGTTTGCCACAAGTGTAGCAAATTTTGGCCCTTGATTTTGGACCAGCTCCTGGGCTTTCCATGACCTTTGACATTAATTCATTTAACTCAATGGTATTCTTACCATGTAGGATGGTTGCTACTAGACTGTCCTATAGGAAAGATGATAACTAGTTCAGGCAAAATAGCTTTATCCTCTTTCCCGAATGGTACTCCAAGGTTGGCAAATTGTACGAAAGTATCATTAAATATATTTAAATGTGACAAAGTACTTGTGGCTTCACTCATTTGGACTTCTTCAAGAACAACTAGTTTGTCGATGTTTTAGCCATATAGAGACTTTCAACTCTCATCCAAATCCCATTATCTCTATCTTCATCATTAAAATTGTTAAGAACATCATCTGGTAAAGTTATAGGCTGATTGCACTAGCTGCCCTTTTTTATCCGTGTTTAATCTTCATCTCTCACAGATACATGCTCCTTTCTCTTGCCTTCGATTCTCTTGTTCAAAACCTTGTTGGATGAACAAATCTCTCATCTTCTTTGTCATGTGGAAAAACTGCTATTACCATTATATGGAGAAACCGCTATCACCATTAAATTTTGCAGCAGCATCTTTTACTCCTGATGACTTCATAACAAGTCCAACTCAAATAAGTTGTTAATGAACATAACCAATCTCGAAAGGATTCTGAGCTTTTAAATATATTTCCGAGTTTAATTATCTTCACCAAGTAGTTGCTGGATGATTCCTCTTCAGACATGATTATGATTTGACGGTGCGTCCAAGATTTATCACCCTACAGTAACAAGTCACTTTTAGATGATGTATTATATGTGATAGTTTTTCCTTAAGGGAATTATGCTAGAGATGCTATGGTGCTGTTTAACCTCCTCCCTTAAATGCAAGGAAATATTTGGTGGTAAATCACACACACACATCCTTGACTTGTTAGGGCTTCTATTTAGTTTTGCGCGTACCTTTCCATTCTTCATCATGGAAGTATCAGATCCACAGATTTCGTTGAAAATATTTTGCTAGCAAAAGCAAGTTCCATTATTCTGGGTAATATGCACTGTCCGACCTTTAAAACATTTCCCAATTATTTCTCCCTTAGATCTTTCCTCTTTTTTTCTTTCTAGATCAACCCTTGATCTTGTTCTTGATGTGCAGTGCTCTTTAAACTCTAAAGAACAGGTTCAGCACCATTTATGTTAAGTCACATAATAACGAGAAAATTTTACTTGCATTCATCCTCTGTACTTATCTTACCCTTTTCTTTCTTTCTCTTCTTCTTGTCCCTTCATTTGAAGTAATACCTACTACCTAGAGGTTATCAAATTCGACTTTTCATGGGCGAAAATTACCTTAAAACACAATTTCAGCAAAGTCCCTAAACATAAATGTCTGTAGATTATGTAGGAAATGACAGAACCTTTAAGCGTGAAGGTCAAGGATGGCAGGTTGGACGCTTGGCAACTAAAACATATCATGAACAAGCTTAGCTTTCTGAGATGATTCTTGACACATAACAAATTGTTGGAGAAGGTTATGGAAAAGAAAGTGGCGATCCATAGATAATACACACGTCATCCAATTTTTGCATTTCTTGATTAAAATTATCAATGACAGGTTCAGGACTTGTTCAGCGCTACTAGAAGCGCATGAGAGGAAAAAGAAAAATAGAATAATTGTGAAGTTTATATCCGGGCTTTCATCTTTATATTCTTCAGAGCTGCAATGATTACATGAATTTTATGCTTCATCGTGTTGTTTATAACTAAGTTGCATGAACTCTTCGATTTTGGTGCCGTCCCCGTCCAGATACGAGACGGGGACGGGGACAGGGACGGGATACGTCCCGGATTCGATCAATTGACTTCAGACACTTTGACCGGAGTCCATCGACAAATTTGGGGGAAAAATTGAGATTTTGATTTCTCAAAATCAAAATAAAACAGATTTAGGACAATGAAAGAATAATGTCCATCTTGGAGAATGAAAGATTGAATTCTACAATATTCATGTAAGTTTTTCACAGAATATCTCTCAAAATTTACAATATTTTTATAACTCTAATTTTTATTAGCCGGACCCCGCACCCGTATTCATATCCGGATCCGCACTCCCGAATCTTAAAATTTAGATTTTGCCGAATCAGATACTCGGATCCGTCCCCGTATCGGATATCCACACCCGAGTCCGAGCAACTTAGGTTTATAATGTCAAGCAGAAGGGAAAACACCATATTCTGCACATTAAGAACTGCATAAACCTTGGTCTGCAAAGTTACCTGATACTTATGCTGGCGGGTAGTAGAAAGTACCCCGCGGAATAGTCAAGGTGCACGTAAGCTGGCTCAGAGATCACCATCATAAAATCAAAAGCTAGCATATTAAGAAATTGCTAAATATACGGAGAACTGGAGAGACCATAACCCTGAATGCTTGTCATTGAAGTCCATAGTGATATCCGAAATGAAAATTGGTTAAAGGAAGCCACACCCTATCCAATGGTGGAAGGAGATTAAAGACATTGAGATTGTTATGTTCCTGGTAATTGGCAAGAGAGATTATCAGAGAACAGGTGTGTTATCATAAGAGTAATTGCCTCGAATATCTTCTGTTAGTTGTGTGCAATGGGGCTATCCAACATCACCCATTCACCCTGTGAAACTTGTTCACACCCTTTCTTTACATGGCATTTCACTTGATTCTTGCTATCTGGGATGGGACAAGGAAGATCACTCAATGGCTCACCATGATTGCATGGAAGCGGTTTTACTCGGATAAGGTGGTGGTGGTGGTTTTTTTTTTTGGGGGGGAGGGTGCGTTGAGGTGGAAGGAAGTTGGTTTCCTTGGTGAATGATTCTCATTTGCTTCTTCTGACCATCCATTCATATTGTTTTGTGGGAGCTAGGTTGGGCAAAGTGTTCTCCTTCCTCAAATTTTGCAGTTTCCTGATGATGATGATGTGTTACACGATGATTGAGAGATGTAATTGAGAATATACCTCTTCAAATTTTTCTTTCCTTATCGGACTGATAAATGTTAAAGAACCTAACTTTAGAACTGCAAAATATCATAGTTTACACACTTGTTTAATAGCCTGCTACTCCCTCCGTTCCAGTTTAAGTGAACCTATTTCCTTTTTGGTCCGTTCCAAAAAAAATGAACCCTTTCTAAATTTGGAAACAATTTAGCTTAAACTTACAATTCTCTTAAACTTACAATTCTACCCTTAATGAGAAGCTTTTATGACCACACAAATACTCTGGGCTCCTTTTTAACTTGTTTAGGACCACAGATTCCAAAAGTCTTCATTTTATTCTTAAACTCCGTGCCCAGTCAAACAGGTTCACATAAATTGGAACAGAGGGAGTACTATTTTTAGATGCTACTTAGTTTGGAGAAATTAGGTTTAAATGGCAGCAAGAGGAAGAAACTACTTGAAAAGAGAATGAAATATGTTTTCTACTTGACTTCTAAAGAATAAAGTAAAGTTATGATGAGCCGAAGAGGTGGATACGGTACTACAGAGCAGAAACTGCACTTAATTCTGCTAGATAGTTTTTCTCCCAAGGCGGAAGGGCTAGAATTACTTATAATGTATTCTAAACGAGAATACAAGAATTTAATGCCTACTATTCTTTTAATCAACCACAAAAAGTGACCGATTTTGATTAATATGGTAAAAAAGGAAACATAGAAAATGAAGGGACAGTAGACTAAAATCTCCGCAAGAGATAGTATAAGGCAAACTATATCCCATGAAACCGTATGTGAACTATAAAATTATGCTGCATGCTTTTAAAGTTCAGAAACTTGATTCTAGTCTTCTTGTTTTTTCATCTAACCGTGTGCCAAAGGCTACCAGTGGCCGCCGATGCATCAAGATTGATTTGATATGAATTTCTTCAACATATTGTTGATGAATCCTTAGTGATAAAACTACGTATATGTATTGTCCACATTGTTCAAGGTAGAATCAAGGTGAAATTGGTCATTTGTAAATAAGGACTAGCATTACGAGAAGGGGGGGGGGGGGGGAATTCACTATTGAAAAAATAATTACACACGAAACCAGAATTTGGATTGGTTCATGGCGTGAGTATATGTAACAATAGCTTTATTTCTCTTAATCAAATCTTTTTGAAATTCATAATCATCTCAAAACAAGAATATATGATTTATAGGACCTAGATTGATCACCACACCTCTCCTCAAGTGCTACTCGACTTCATTGTAATTAGGCTATTTCAGCCCCATCATCATTGCAGAATAAAGAAGTACTGCATATAGGAGCAATAATTATGCTTTGTGAAGCCAATAGTTGCTTCTTTAATTCCTTTTCGTTTTAATTGGAATCACCAATATTATAGCATCTGGATATTCTTCTGACTTTAATTATTCCACAAAATATGTGTTCGGCTCAAAGTAATAAAGTTATACATTACAACTTCTTTTGTAGCAATATCATGATAATGGATTCATAGAGACAGTTATCTGATCACCGATCGACAGCATCAAACAGAAAGAAAAAAAAAAAAAGGGTAAAAGGATAGGAAATCATCGAACCAGAAAGTCCAACCACAGGCATACAGCTGTTATTCAACAAGCGGTAAGGTGATTAAAGACGATAGGGTAAAGATGGAGATGTTCCAATAAGGGGCAAACAAGCAAAAAATAGGAACAACGACGCAGCAACAAGTTGAATCCAATACATTATTGAGTCAACACAAAGACAGCAAATGTCTTATGGTGTAGAAGCTAACTAACCTCTCGTACTGCTGTTACCTCTGCATGAGCAGTAGGGTCAGAATGCTTCAGAACCATGTTGTGGCAGCTAACAAGTACTTCATCATTGTGAACAACAACTGCACCAAAGGGGCGCCCATCTCCACATTCTACAGCTTTATAAGCTTCTTGAACTGCTATTGTCAAGAATTTGTGATCTCTATCCTGTTCATCTGGTAGGAGATAGGACAAGAATATGTTTAACGAGAACTCCACTGTTGATGAACTTCTCAAAGCAATTTAAACTTAACCCAAATAGTTAGCCATATGATATGTCTCATTCTTCCTGCTACAACAGAATCATCGCGACGGTCCAACAATAATCATGCTAAGTCATTTTTCATGACATCATTTAGGCAGAGAGAATTCAGAAAAGTGAGAAAACTAAGTCAAAGTGATAGCATAACCCAAATAAAAAAAACTTATTACCAAACGATAAGACAATTTGGACTCAGAAATTCGCCATGCCTTTTGCTAAAATGGCAAACCACACAACCAAAACCAATTACAAACAAGAAAAGAAAGAGTAACCAATTTCCAGTCAAGAAACTACGATGCTGCTTTAGAACTCATAGATGTCATGCACTATGTTAAAGCCCTAAAATCCATGTGACCATTGCTGGCTTACAGGATGATAGAACATCAAAAACTATTTTGGCATATATTCAAAGGTCCAAAATAAATGAATCAGGGCCAACTTGTGAACAGGCAAAACTTACTCGCACAAGTGCTTATATCAAACCAATAAATACACTACACATGTCTTCATACACCGTAATCATTAAACCATAGTTGATTAATACAAATTCTCTCAACTTAATTTATCACTTAACAATTGTATATTAATATGGTTTAATGTAAACACAAGTGAGGGTAAGTTTTTATCCAGCGGAATCTTGCTAGTCACAGCCAAATCAAAAGGTATGGACTGTTTCCAACTACATGTGAAACTCACTTTAGCAATTAGAGGCAATTTCTGATAACATAGAATGGAAATGAGCAAAATCAGTGCTATTCAAGAAAAAGAATTACTAGAAAGCAAGCACAGTGACTGAATCCTGACCTAATCAAGAAAAAGAAGTACTAGAAGGCATATGCCTAACCATTAGCTTCTTCCATGCTGAATGAAACTCCACCTGATTTTGCGCAAATGGGTGTTGATGGAAACAATTAAATAAATTAGTTAGAAACAATTCAGTGAAGCCTGAACTATACATGGTCCCCGCATGGGCAAATCCGTCCAATGATTGATTTCTTTTTATAACGAGATGATGGATAAAAATTAGTCAAGATATTTGCAGACACAGCGGAATAACCTAAAAGTGATGTAAATTTCACAAATAGAGGATTTTTTTTTGCCAAAATCATATAATTATATTTTCTAATCATAAAACTTTTACTAACTCACATAAAATCATAGTGACCAGAAAATATAACTTTTCAGTTTCTTATTCCATGATATTTTATTTTTTATTTTCAGTATAATTAATAATAATTCAATTAAAACAAGAATGACCCACCTCCACCCAAATATATAAATTAAAATAATACTAAAAATGAATTCTTCAAAATACAATACTTCTATCTTTTCTTTTTCTTTTTAAGATATTCCTTCAACAAGATAGCATTTTGCTTTAGGTGCTATCTAATTATAACTTCTTCTTTTTTTTTTGCGAGAAACTCATGCATTCCAAATTAAAATTTTTTTTATGAGAGAAGAATTCACTTTTATTATTATTTTAATTTATGTAAATGATATTGAGTCAGGTTGTGTTGGGTCATTCCTATTTTAAGTAAAAAATATATAACTGACCGGTTGACCGAAATTAATTACATTCGCTAGCCCCATATATATATATATATATATATATATATATATATATATATATATATATATATATATTCCGCTGNACGGTAACCTTAGCCATGCCGGGGTTTCATCGATTAGAGTGGAGAAGGACTATTGACCATTCTACCGGCAGGATTATTTCATATGTGAAGGCTCGACGTATGACCGAGAAGGGATGTCTAGCATATTTGGCCTATGTTTGTGATTCAAGTGTGGAGGTTCCTTCCATGGATTCAGTACTAGCTGTGCGTGAGTTTCCAGAGGTGTTTTCTGCATATCTGCGCCACTCGACAGAGATATTGACTTATGTAATTATTTGGCTTCAGGCACTCAACCCATTCCTATTCCACCATACCGTATAGCCCCGCCGGAGTTGAAGGAATTGAAGGAGCAGTTGCAAGATTTGCTTGATATTATTTGTGAAATTTACCCCCTAATAGCGCGAGATTTAATGATACTCCTCAGTTTCAATTTATGAAGTGTGATTTTATTTTTTCAAAAAGAATAACCTTTGTCTAATTTCCAAAACTATTTGATATAAACTCTTCATTTTACTCTTAATTATAAATTTTATAGACACACAAATATTATGATATATTTAACATCACAAGTTTTAAAAGTCTTATGACCATATAAATATTATAATATATTTAATACCACAAGTTTCAAAAAAAATTATTTTGTTTAAACTCTGTGTCTATTGAGATAATTAGGTATTTTTATGTATTTTGTATTTTCGCATTTTTCAGTTAAATAATATATTCAATTAGTTAGGAGCACTTAGCTTAGCTGTGTCTTAGTTGGCAATTGGTGGTTAGTGAGTTAAAGAATATTCTTACACTTGCATATATGATACTCCACAAATCAATAATAATTAGTTTTCAAGCTCTCCACTTTCTCTCTATATTCTCTTCTCTCATGGATATTTCTAGAATCCTCCGTTGTTGCGCAACTTGAGCTCAATCTCTTCCTCTATTGTTGCATCTTGTCATAATATCAGAGCATAAGAGTTTCTAGTTCATCTCTTGTCAGCTAGTTTCTACTATTCTCGTTGTGTTTTCATTTGTGCCATAATTTTGGTGCGGTGATATTTGTTTCAGCATCAAATCGCAACATCAAGTTTCAATTTCTCCTCTCTCATCTATGACTGACCGAGTTTTTGTATGCCAGAATCGGTGTTACTAGTATCGGCGTTGATGTTAGCAGTCCTCTATATCTACATTCGCTTGGTAATCCCAGTGCTATGTTGCTATCAGTTCTTTCACCAAGACCCATTATCTTCCTAGAGGCACAGTTGAATGCGAGGTTTATTTGTTAAAAACAAGTTAGGATTTATCAGTGGTGAATGCAAGCGACCAGATCCTCAATCACCTAACTATCGTCAGCGAAAAATATGTGATGATATGGTAACATCATGGATATTAAATTCCATCTCGAAGGACGTTGCAGATAGTATGGAATATGCAAACAATACCGTGGAGTTGTGGACAAAGTTGGAAGATCGTAATGAGCAAACCAATGATGTTAGATTGTATCAAATTCAGAAAGAAATAAACGATTTAACTTAGGGAGCCCTTGATATCACAAATTACTACACTAAAATAAAAAAGCTTTAGGAATAGCCGAACAATCTAAGCATGAAAATACATAGCAGTTGTCAATACAGATACGGTACCAAGGAGAATATGTGCAAGGCTGATCAAGACATGAGGCTAATCTATCTCCTCATGGGCCTTAATAAAGTGTATATAGTGGTACAAGGGAGTATCATAATGATGAACCCCCTTCCTTTGTTGGTACAAGTCTTTTCTCTGCAGATTCGGGATGAGAAGCAGAGGGAAAGTGAGGCCTTCCAATCAATTTGTTATTAAGCCCACCTCTTTTCATGTCAATACACAAAGTAATGTAAATTTCAAGACAAATTACTTTCCTAATAACAACTATTCCTTTGTAAACAAACCTCGTCCCTTCTGTGACTACTGGAAGTGGCCTGGACATACCAAGGACAAGTGCTACAAACTTCACCATTATGCTCAAGGCCCTAATCCAAATTAGAGTTAGGGTTTCAAATTCAATAAGGGCAAGAGAACTGTACCAAATGCTCATATTGCACATGCTAAAAGAATATCCAGTCGTGGCAGTTATTTTATACCCTCAAGATAAATCTCATAATTTGGAAACCATGGAAATTACTAAGGAGCAGTATAGACAGTTGCTCAAACTGCTGCACATCTTTATAATTGCAATCGAGAAGAAAAATCCGGTGACACCAACCTTACCAGTGGAGCTGCAAACTTTGCATATATAATAACTTGCTTCTCGTATACTGCTTTTGGCATAATATCTTGCAAATATATCAAAAGAATGGCTAACACTTCAATTTTGAATTCTGGAGCATCACACCACATAACCTATAATAAATCCCTATTTTCCCATACCAGAAACTTGCCCTATGCTTTACTTGTTGCTCTTCCAAATAGTTATAGAGTTAAGGTGACAGAAGTTGGTAGCATAACACTTGCACCTCAAATCACTCTTCATAAAGTGCACTTTATTCCTTCTTTCAAGTTCAATTTGATTTATGTTTCCTCATTAACGGCAAATCTTAATTCACTGATTGCTTTTACTACTTTCTTATGTCTACTGTAAGATCCTTCAATGAAGAGGGCTTTGGAGATTGATAAAGTTATAATGATCTATATATCTTTTGTTCGCACTACCTGAAGAATGATAATTCTGTTTCAGTAAGTGTTACTAATATTTCTGCTTTATGTTCTCTATTTCCTGCTTGTGATGTCAGTAATTCACAGTATAAATTCATTCCAGTTATACATAACTACACATATAATAAGATACTTCCTTCTGTTCTGCATTCTTCTACTTTACTATTTACGTCTCTTTCATGTCACGAGAAGGTTATTGATGAATTGTGGCATAACAAAATTTGGCGTATGTACCTTTAGTAAGTTGGTGGAGATGCCCATCATACTAGCTACTTTTTTCATAAACAAATCTTTTTATGTCCTATTTGTCTAATAGCTAGGCAGGGTAGACTATCATATCCTTCCAAAATTAGTATATCTAGTAAAATCTTTGATCTTTTACAAGTGGATTTATGGAGTATTTATTATGTAAAAACACATAAGAACTATAAGTACTTTCTCACTATGGTAGATGACTTTAGTAGGTCTACCCGGACTCACTTCTTCAGCTGTAAGAGTAATGCACTTTAAGTTATAAAAGCTTTTGTTCTTTTAATTAACACTCCATTTTAGCTCACCATTAAGACCATCAGATTAGAAATGGTCCGGAGTTTACTAGTATAGAGGTAGCCTCTTTCTTTCAATCCAAATGCATAATTCACCAAAAACATATACACCACAATAAAATGGTGTGGTGGATAAGAATCTGTCACGACCCAAAATTCAACTAGTTTTGATGGCACCTAACCCAACTCGCAAGGTAAGTCAATTTAATAATAATCCGATTCAAATGAGATTTACGGAAAGAAATAATGATAATATAACTGAACTTTTATACAAAGGATTACTAAGGACAGGTAGTACAAATCATGAGCTCCTAAGATTTAGAGTTTACAAGGCTGGTATGAAATAAATACATCATCTATTTGAAATATACATGAACAGATTAATAATTCTAAAGCTACCAAGAACAAGAGGCAGCTATAACCGGATTGCAGGCACATCTTCAATGCCAGCTCTCGCCATACACAGCAACATCAACATCCAAAATCTACATGCAAGGTGCATAGGTGTAGTATGAGTACAACCGATCCCATGTACTCAATAAATAACAAACCTAACCTTAGGTTGAAAGTAGTGACGAGCTTGGACAACGGTCAGGGTCCGACACCAACAACCAGGAATAACTCATAACAATATAAATGAAGCAATACAAGTAATAACTCAAAAACATGATGCTCAGCTCGTTCACAGTTCCGAAAAATAGGCATGCTTTTCAAGTATAACAGTAAAACTCAAATCTTTCAGAGAAATCACTAAAATATGAGTAAATAAAAAAAAGGATATTTTTTTCCAAAATTTTCAAGAACAGATAAGAAGTCTCATTATCAGATGGCATGAGAAAAGTGCATCTCTATGCCTACATGTCAATGTGCATGTGAATGTCATGAATGTCACTATACCGTATGTTGCTGTCACGATCCAAATTCTCCCTCGGTGAATTGTCGTGACCAAACCTAGTCTCTACGACTAGGCAAGCCTAACATTTGCGGAAATGAAATGAAAAACATAAAAAGTTAACAACTAACAGTAACAGATAATTTAAATAAGCATTTGAGATGCCGCTCGGCATATACAATAATCAACTCTCGAAATATACACAGCTCTCCCAAGACCCGGAACACCGTAAGTCATAAGCTTCTAAGAATTTCTAACTATTCTATACATCAGTGTCTAACGAAATAAGGGAAGAATCGACATAAGGGG